TTCCAGCCCTAATGTCTATGAAATCTATGAAATCCTTTTAAAATGGCTGTGTTCAACTTGGTTCTCATTTCTACTGGTCTAAATCTGGAGTGCTGCAGAGTTAGTAAGTGAGATAGCACTGTATGTTAGATAGCATAATTCCCTCCCTACCCCCCAGGCTTTTGCTGTAAAGGATTTTTCAGTGAACATTTTTAGGAGAAAATATAAAATATTCAATATAGTTATTTTCTGCAGCCTCCTTCATTCAAGTTGTTCCAGCTCAGCAGCATCTTCACAGATAGTGACTCTGTATAAAGATGCTATGTAAACAAGTCTCATGCCTTTTGACAGAAGCTTTCACAGACTTCAAAAGCATTCACAGACTTATTTTATTGTACAGAAATAATGAAATGTATATGAATTAAAGATATCAATGAAAACTGATATGTGTTGAGAACACAAATGAAAAACAATACTAAACTGTAATGCAGAAACTAATTCTAAGCCTCCTTTCTGGTGGTCAGCCACAATAATGATGAAAAGTGCCACAATCTTCACTATAATAAAACTCTACTGGAAAGGCCTGGGCAGAGTACTCGGAATTTCAAGCAGGAGGGGTTAAAGAGTGAAAACCATCCTGCACTAATATATTAACAAACAGTCAGCAGTTGTTGTTAAAATGTTTTGTAAAATTCGTCCACTCTAAAGAAGATAAATCTAAAGGATTTACTGCATAGCATTAATTTCATTATTTACAGAGTGCAATACGTGTGCGTGACTGGTTTATGCAGTTTACAATTCTGCAAATGCTTATTAAAGGCAGGAGCATTTACAACTGTTTACAGTTTTATTGAGGAATGCTTAAGAGACCTCTTTCTGGGTGGCAATGCTAACACGCTCAGTTAGGATCCATAGTAGAAAAGTTTACAATTCTGTAACCAAATCAATTAAAAATTGATCTAATTACACCAGTGTAACACCTAACGTAGATACACTAGCCATGTCTTCATGAGCATAGATGTTTCTTTCCCTAGGGACAAGAAGCAGCAAGACACCTTGTGGCACTGCTACTTGCCCCTGGGGAATGCCTGTGCCACACACCCTCCAATGTGCAGCAGGTTACCCCAGGTGCGGTAGGGGAGGCTGGGGCCAGCAACTCTGTTGGCTCCAGCTGCCTTACCTGGGGTCCAGCAGCCTTAC